ATAAGACTCGTCACCCTTTATAGGAGGTTGATCACCTGAAAAATAAGGCAACTTTGGTGTCTCGAACTTCGGTACCTGAATTTGTGATGGATGCATAGAAAAATCATGAGCTTGAGAAGTTCTAATAAAATCAGTCAATGGTCGCTTAGGAGTAGGTGTGCTTGTACTAACTGGTTTATGCAAAGCTGCATACTCAGATTTAGTTAGCACAACATAATCTCCATTACTCTTTAGAGCCTCTAAAATCTGCTTAAGTTGAGCATCAGACAAAGGTGCATCTTCACCTAATCCCATGCCACCTTTATCAGAAACACCCTCAGCCATTTTAAACAAAAATGTTTAATGACTAGAAGTATGAACACAATATACACAAATATAACCTGTAAAAGAAATTTCAATAATAGCTGAAAATGAAAAATTACTGCACCTGAAATTTAATAAAATAATATTCACATTGACCTGGCCACCACCATGGAATATACTCCTTGAAGAATATGTCAACAAGTTATATAAACCATAGAAAAATTACAATAATGTAATTATCTTCAAATGCAGTGTAATTCAGCCTAAACTTTACAAAAACTTACAATAATTCCCAGCGTTTACAGTCAAACCACTTCAAAAAAACTGCAGCAGCTGTGACACCCCTTGTAAAATTCGCGAATGAGTAAGCTATTTGGTGTTCGGTCACCAAATAACAAGAACGAAATTACGCGAAAAACAAATAAATATTGTGTATGATATTATTACCAAACACAAAAGTTAATTATTAACAACGAAAATATGTCAGGAGTACACGACTGAGTTATGGTACGTAAATGTTACTACATATACACAACACTATGCTGAATAGTGAATAACACGTATAAATTATCAAATACTGTATACAAAATTTTACAAAATGGTATACAGATACGTTATATTAATTTCACGGATCACTATATACTCAACCGTCGTCTGCTCAAAATTTACTATTTACACATATGCTGAAACACAAAATGACAACACAACACAGAACATATAACCCTTACCTTACACGCTCCTCTTCTCAATCATACATCTATGGTAAGTACAGTGCAAAGAGTATGTGAAGACAGTATGCAAAGAAAGTGTGCTCGATAGTTGGGCAAGAATAAATCAGACCGAAGGATTGGGACAACTCAATAATTTAAACACACCCTAACGTTTTAGAAAAAAAAAATGATGAATAAATAACACACCCTATACTTTGAGAAAAAATAATGTAAGTACCAAAAAATAACCTAAGACGCTGTGTTGTACTAAATATATACTCTATCTAGATCAAACTCAATGACAAAAAATATATCCCTAATCGATTATTTACTCAGTAAAGAAAAAAATACCTCACGAAAATATATGACAATTCAGTTTACATATTCACAAAACAAAATTCACAAACCTCTATACATATATATCACATCCAATAAAATCCTAAACAATAATTACACAGAATAAAGTCCTAATCCGTTATAAAGCAAGAGATACCTGCTAAATATTCATTCAAAATGTACAATGTTCCTCCTTTCCTCATCCCGCGTTAGTCATCCGGTTTCCGTAATAATTTCACGTCGTAGAAATTCCTCTCAATAAAGTATAGATGCAAATCGACACTGGAGACGCGAGTGTGCACACTTTTAACTTAATTAACACTAGCGCTAGATTTCACATAAAATAACTCCTGATGCATCAAACTTTCACAATTAGGATCCTCCAATGATCTGAAACAAATCCTTCCTGGTTTCTTCAAAACTCGGGGGTCCTAACGACTCTGTCGGAAAATACCTCACTCTCTCAAAAATACGTGGTCGGATTCACATTCGTGACCTGTAGATTGGCTCTCTCGCTCAATCGCTACCGATAGACGTAAACTCGCCACCTCCTCTGTCCAGACACTGTGGCTTCTCGTAGACCACACTGGCCACCAATGTCACAGGGTAGAATAAATAATACAAACTCCTGGCGTAGGTTCGTCAATTTAATATATAATACGAAGATAAAGCCTAAAAACATAAATACATGATTATAATACAAGTTAATTAAAACATACATAAAATACAACAATACAACAATTGAACGATGTAAATAAGAATTATTTCAAGTAAATGAATCAAATGAAAATAATCTTACCACAGCGTCTCAATAAATAACTTAATAATAAGTTATTCCCAAAAATTCTTTTAAATAAACTTAAAGAATTTATGTACTAAGTAGAATAGTATACAATGTATCTTAACTCGTAAGAGAATAAAGACGAAGTGAAGTGAAGAAGGAAAGTTTGCGGGAATTTGGAAGAAAGGAAATGTTAAAAACCAATCTAAAACTTTCTCTCAAAACTCTTTCATACAACGTACACAACGATTGGACATACAAAAACAGTTCACAAAATTGCACGAGAAACAGACATAGTTGAATTGTTTCGGCTGTTTCCGTGAATTTCCGCTAATAAACGTACATTACGGAACCACCCGATACAATACAATAGCAGACGATAACAGACGCCACGGAGACAAACGTTAATCGACGCATGCGCGGACATTAAGAATACTTTTCCCGCGACTAAATGACGAACAGCGCACGGCAAAATGAACAATTAACATAATAAATAAAACGACCCGTGACATATTTATTTTTCAATTTATAATTATAAATATACTTGATGATTCATTTTAAAGACGATGATCTTATGCTTTAATTTCTTTCTATAATTCATTTATGAAAATTGTTTAAACGGTGGTAAGAATTTAAATGTGTTACGGCCACGAGTTTCCTCGGTATATTTTCCCGGCTCTGAATTAACGCAAGATATACCAACTTTTTAAGTTTTGAGTTGTGACATTTAATATTTAGGAACTATTTTCTGGTTTTCTATCTAAATTCACTAGAATGTTAAAAATTATTGAAAAAAAAAGAACTGAAGAGGCGCCGTGTTTTCTTGCCGATTTTAAAAGTTCGTTTTCCAAAGCAACAACTTTAATACTTAGGGCAGTAGCAATCTGTATCATATTATTGTTTAAAATGAGTAAACGTGTTGCATAACCCTTAAATCTTATATGATTGGACAAGAATCAAAGAAATCACAGACACTTTGGGTGTGTAACTCAAAACGCCTTTAAAATCCAAATGAAATGTATATTTGTCAACGTTGGGGTGCCACGTTTGAATTTGTCGAAAGATTTTGTAAATGGAGTAAAACGGCGATAATCTCGATGTTTATTTCGGCTGTTGCGTTGTTTATATTGATGTGGAAGTTTAAAATTGACCATCATCATGAAGAATTATATCTTCTGTGTCTGTGGGCCAAAGGATTATGTGAAAATTTGGAAACGGAATAAAATACATGGTGTTTTTGACGGTAGATTTGCGGTTTTTTTCCGGCGAACATTTTTATCTTGTGTATTATTATAGACGTTGAAATATGATTTTTTTTTCAAATCGGCTTATATTAAGTATTCTTATATATATATACATGATCAGTACATGTGCTGGGATTGACAAATATGCATTTCTTTATTTTAAATCGTTTTGAGCTCCACACCCTACACCTCTGTGGCGCAGCGTTTTGTTTATGTAACATTGTAAAATAACCGCCTTGATTCTTCAAATCGCACTTCGCCATGTGTAAATAATTTCTAAGACGCCATAAAAGTGAAATGTATGGAATAAATCTTTACTGTATACCAACATTATGAAAGTCTTTTGCAAAACAAAAAACAACAACAAAAAACATGAAGCGGACACCTGTTTCATGAAATAAATTTCCGAGTATTTTGCCCTGTACCACGGTCATTTTAAAACAATATCATACCTACGTGTGTGTGCGTGTGTGTGTGTTTTTCTTTCGAAAATCATCTTCAGAAAGCTTTTTGGAATAAACTAGCAAGAATTATGGACCTGCGTGGATAAGAAAATAATAATAAAAAAATCACATGGAATGTTGTTTCCGCACATACATGTATAATGTCGAGGCACCACGTTTGACATTTATTCGTTTTATACCGCGTTTGAAATTTATTCGTTTTATTATTGATAAAAAATATTTTGAACATTGAAAATATCGTTTAATAGTTAATCAACATTAATATAAATAACAGACTGTCAAATTCCTTAGAATGGCGTCCTCTCGTAGTCGCTAAGGCACTAGGAATCCGTTCGTTGCTCTTTAAACATATAAACCTTGTGTTTCTGCTATTAACATATTCCTATTTTCATCATAATCGTGGGGAAAAAATCTAAAGTTACCAATAGGTCCCATGTCCTATATTTACTGGGAAAGCTGAACGAAATAATTTTTTTATAAACTAGAAAATATTTTGTGAGGAGTCCATTTACAGAGTAGCTTTTCTAAAAAGATAATGATAATTCTGATATTTCTAAGAACGCTCTGACAATAACGAATAAGTTTTGCATCTACCCCAATAAAATAATATTTTCATCCTTTCATAGTTTTTTTTTTGCGTAAATATAACATTAAACTTAATATTTTACTAAGAGTGTTACGGCGTTTCTCAGTAACGCAGTACCGCATACACACCAGTGTAGTAATCAACAGTGTTTTTGTCACGTGACATTAGCGGCGATGTCTGTATTTTGATGGTTCATGTGTTTACTTTTCTATCAAAATCTTTATGTTAGGAATATTTTCACAAATAAAACATGAAATTGATGTAGAAATGAATAATCTTTAAAGGTATCGTAACAAATTTATTAAAATATGAATTCTAATACGATTTTAGACGGTCCAAAGCTTGCGCTCAAAATCCCGGCGCAAATTTCACCACAGAAAAGGTACTTTTTATGTTGTACGTAGAGGCGAGATATTGCCCAGACACGAAAATAGCACAATATCTCGTCGCGCAGTACAATTAGTTGGACTAATCTAAAGCAGTTAGGCATACATGTTTTACAAAAGCACTCATTTATCTTTAAAACAAAACTGTTCTTATCAAAGAAGTTAAACATGTACATATTCAATTATATACCTTTTCTACCGATCAGATACAGTAATAAAATACAAAACAATCTGTGATAAGTTTTTAGTCATCAACAAAATCACAAGACAAAATTTGATAGAGCTAGCATTAACATGTTTTGGCCGCAGCTACGAAACTTTATTTTTCTCTAAATAACTTTGTTCTAAATTCGTGATGATAAAGTCATGTGAACAAATATAAAAATCTGTATTTAAATACATTTTTCGAGGTTTTGCAAAATTCGCAACTAAAGTAGGATTTTTTGATTTTGGAGATATTGACCACAGCGCAAAAATGGGATTTTCTCAAAGTAGTTTGTAAATCTGAACAAACATATCTGAATAACATTCTTTGGTTATTTTAATTTAGTCGTCACATGCTTTTATTTTCATAAAATGAGTATATGTACCGACTTAAGTTTTTTTCTAAGTTGTTATTCTTCCGAACTCAGTTTAATGTTTTTCTTTCTCATTGTGAGATCGCTAATAAAATATGTTTGACAGCCGGTGCAGATCATTTCCGGTTTATATCTGACGTGTTGTCAAACCAATGGAGAGTGGGAAAGATAGACTTCAAACGTCAGATTTGAGGTCATATCAAAGGAAACGCCGACTGTTAACGTGTCTGCAAAGGCTTAGCAAATTGATGATGACTATTTCTGTTATTCTCTTCATAATAATTTATTTCCAGTCAGGAAATGGGTGAGAATTTGAATGCATTGAATTATATTTTATTTTTAAATTATTTTCATCATTTCAAAACTGAGAAACATGTACACTTTGCTTACTTGCTCAATCAAAGTGCTAATTAAAGTCTAATCAACAATATTTGTCAGCATCTGAAAGGTATGAAGCAATTGCATGTCATAATGAACTGAACAGCTGAAGTGAAGGGGTGTAGCCCTTTAATTTGCTTTGACAGCAGTAAGAAAAGAAGTCTGTAAAAAGGGTCGAACCGTTTATGCTATATTAAGGCTAGGTTTCAGCGAACATTATTTTATATGGTGCAAAAAATATCTATTGTATAATTGGCATATCAATTATTGTAGGTCTTAATGTGTGGTTTATCACACATTTTCACGTAATGTTGTACGTAATGAACAATACATCTTCATCTCTATATAAACAATTGACACATGCACTGGGCTGGCAAAATCTATTGTCCATATTGCCCAGGTTGTCTGTCCGCCTGTACGGACAAGTGAAAGTTTTCAAGAATAAACTACGTAAATATCATAGGGACAAGTAAAACAATGCTTCACATAAAAACGGAGAAGTTAGTCACAGGGTTCCCGCTGTCGCTCGCCAATGGCGCCAAATGCGACAATATATTAATTCTGGCGCATAAAATCTTTAATTGGCGAATTTAACTGGCGCCAACGTAAGATAAAAAGCATCCGACAACTAGTACACTTAAATGTCATAAGCGGCCGCGTCAATTACATAAGCGGCCCAAATGTGAAAGGTCACGCGCTGTTAGTTTGTTTATCAAACTGTATAATCGGGTACCGTATAATCAATTATGTCATCAATTATGTGACACTTCGGGAACATGTGAAGATGAAAGTGTCAATGTGTTAAATGGAACAATTTACGTCTTTCATTTACTGACATGTGTGGTCAACAGGTGTTAGTAGCGAACAGAGAAGTGAAAGATCGTCCGTGATGTTGACAAACATTGAACTTTCGGTAAGTTGACTCGTCAACTGATTAAAAATAATTACAGTTTGAATATTAAATCGGATGACAATTAAAAGAATAATTTCACCAATGATTGATCTAAAGTCACTGTACTGCAATGTTAATATTTTCATATCTGAATGTAAAGTGCTGAAGTGTCTATTCACATGCAAACCCTATTAAAATAAACAATACTTTTCATTGTTAAAAATACTTAGTATCTATTTTATTTTTTGTTCTCCTTGATTTTTAGATGAAGTCAATTTATAGTAATGTTGTTTTTTTTTATTTTGTATCTGTAGATCACCAGATTGTCGTGTAGAAGCTGGGAAAGATCTTGGCTCAGTCCAGCCTGTGAGAAGAACTGCTATACTGGCAAAATGGTGGAAAACAGGACCTCCCATGACTAACTTAACATGATGTTTTTGATTACATTTATGCCGTCATGTGTATTTATTTAAATGGAATTTGAAAACCACATAATAGTATGTCTATATTTTAGATAATAAACATGTGCAGCTGTAATAAAATGAAATATTATAAATATGTGTTTGTAATCATAATGATATATAACTGCTAGCATATCTTAGCAAAGATAGGCATGTCTCCCTTGCAGAATTATTGGCTCCAACTTTGGAGCCATTGGCTCCAACTTTTTCTGATTGGCGAATTTGGTGGCGCAAACTAATTTTGACCCAGAGGGAACCCTGAGTCAAAATCAAATTTTGCCGGCCCTGTGGCATAGTATTAAAGAGAATACAGCATGATTTCTACGTAATAAACAACAACAATCTGTTTTTATTCTTTATTCATCACTCTATATAAAACTTAAAAATAGTCCTCATAAATCCCGTCATTGAAGTTGTTGGATCCTATTCCTGAAATCTGGCTACATAACCTCAGTAGTTGAGAAGTAGTCATCTCATCATCTTTGTACTTGTCCCAGAAGTCAAATAAGGCTCCATGGATGCGGCATATCTTTTACGAAGAAGTCTTGTCAAGAGATGCTGAGAAATGGTACCTGCTTGGCACTGTCATCTTTCCACACGATAAACACCTTTATGTCATATGATTAGTGTTAAATAATCGGCGGATAAGACATGCAAACTTTCTCTTTGATCAATTATAAACAAATGATTTGTTTCTTAAACCAACAAATAAAATAAATAATGAATATAATAATATTAAAAGTAAATGAACAATTTATTTTGCAAACAAAATAATATTTTTTTTTTTCTCAAAACTAATTAATTAATCAAATTACGAAGAAATCATTATAAGTATAACATACAGACATAGGTAGTCTGCCTGTGGTTTGAAAACAAGAAAATGAATAAATTTGTACTTTTTTACACATTTTTTCATGGACTTTGAAATCTACATGTATCAATCCGATCTGACCCACACCTTATTATGATGCTTTGGTCATAGTTAACAGTAGTTTTAACTAAGCTGACTATTATTTATGTTTAGTTATTTACTTAAAATTATAGCCATTTAACAAAGACTGCCTTAGAATTAATGTGTTGGGGGCAATTTCAATTGATTTTCAGTGTTAAAATTTATTTTCTATCAGTTGTCATCGTCTCGGTGTCAACCAGAATTTTGCATTTTCAACAAAATGTCCTAATGTAGTTAATGATATGTCTTTTGCAGAATGTTGTGTACTGGTTCTTAAGCTACTTTAATTTTTAAAAAGAAGGAAGAAAAAAATGTTTGAACTGCTATACAGTATACACCCAAGTTTTGAAATGTTCCACACATTTTAGAAATCATTTTTAACAAAGGGCACAGGAACCATTAATTTTGTAATTGATTGCACATGCTGAATAAGTGCTACATAATATAGAACATGGTTGTACTAGTCAGTCTATTGAAACCCCAGGAGAATAGCAGTGACTTTGACTTTTGGATTGTCAAGCCCATCTACACCCTTAGCCAGTCTGAAGGTAAATTTCCCACTAAAATGACCCTACACCGATAGTTGGACATAATTTTCATTGCATTGACCAAAGATTAGAACAAAAACAATCCCCGTAGAATTGAAGTTAAAATATGTTAATTTGAATTTTCAGCTTTCATCAGAAGCAGATTACTCAGACAGCTAATTTGCCACAGAAATTTTTCCCATCTCATAGCCGAGTTGCAGATTACCCATTTGGAAATCTTCAACCTGTTGTCAAGCTTCTAGGTGATGAAGAGTTGATCTTTGTCATGTACTATGCACCCTGGTGTGCTCAGTCTGTTCGAGTAAGAGGAGAATTCATCAGAGCTGCGAAAGTTCTATATAGCACTGTAAGTTGCGCAGATTTTTTTTTTGTCTTTGAAATTCATGTTATTGCAAAGAAGGATTTGTTAAGAGCTTTTTTAGTCCCCTACCGGTTTACCCTCCATCTGTCTGTCTGTCAGTCTGTCCACAAAACTGGATCCCGCGATAACGCAAAAAGTACTGAAAATATTTTTATGAAACTTGATATATGGATAGATGGCAGTATGGAGATTATGCAGGTCTTTTTCTTTTCTTTCTATGTTTAAAATTCTGGTTGCTATGGCAACAAATAGTCTGAAAATATGGCAAATTTAACACATAAACTGGATCCAAAGATAACTAAAAAATTTCTGAAAATATTTTTATGAAACTTGAAATATGGGTAGATGGCAGTCTGGAGATTATGCACATCTTTTTCTTTTCTTCCTATGTTGAAAATTCTGGTTGCTATGGCAACAAATAGACTGAATTTCAAGATTTCTGATTTAAATTTTCAGCTTTTTCACTATAAGTTCTTTATTTCTTAAGGTGTTTACTTCAAACTTTAAATACAAGTTTCTGGTCATCAACCACATCATATGTGACAAGGTTTATAACTCTAGCACAGAAATTATCAGTATTACCTCCCTTGAACTTAGAATTTTTATGGAAAAAAATGTTGTCTTTTTTAAATAACTTCTTTATTTCCTAATGTATCTACTTCAAACTTCATATATATGTTTCTTATTATCACTCAACATTTTTGAGAAGGTTAAATACTCTAGCAAGTCTATTTCCAGAATTATGTCCCTCTTGAACTTAGATTTTTTTCGAGAAATTGGTATTTTTCACTCCAACTTCTTCATTCCATATAGGATTTACTTTAAAATCCCATATAATAAGACAAGGTTGTATAAACATAATTTCCTTACTAGGCAGGGAAACTTAACACATTACTGTATAGAATACTTAGAACTCAAAAGATTTAAGTTCATTCATGTCATTCATTCACTGGTAAAATTGAATGGCCAATGGCCCATCAGAATGTTGCTGGGGTTCTCCTATACCGGTAGGGGACTTAGGGATTGCTTGCAATACTATGATAATTGCTTGTTTTTACTAATTTGTTCATAATGTTCCTGCTGGTTCAGTATTAGTAATGATAAGAATCATTAGACATAATTCAAACTCATATATCAATGCATGTTTTCTTATTAAATTATACATGTAAATAGTGAAACACTATTGGAAATAAATAATGTTATGTTATTAAATTTTAATTCAAGGTGAAGTTTGTAGCTATCAATTGCTGGTATGTTGAAGGAGAATGTAGACAGAGGATGAAGTTTTATTCCTACCCTGAGCTCTTTATTTACCATACTGGTGTTACAGATGGTTACAGATTTACAGGCAGGATTTTTATATTGTTTAATGTTATTAAAGCAGCATACCTCCAGATTCATGCTAATTATCATGAAGATTATGAAATGTATTTTAAAGTAAAATATTGTGAAGTGAACAAAGAAGGTAATTTACACATTTGCAAACGGCACTTGAAATCCATGTTAATTACCAAATAGAGGTCAAAATATACATAAATACCTCTTACTGGTTAGTAACACAGTAGAATTATAGTGATTGATACTGCAAAATCAGTCATTAATCACACATAACATGTAAATAATTAATTAATATTGAATCTTTTAATTTTCTGAAGATCTTAATACATTTTTCTAAAGATTGAATTTCTGGAAATATTTGGGCTCATCTGGAGTTGTGCAGCTTTAATGTCATAGTAATGATTCCTTCAAGTTAGAATAACAAGTACTTGTACTTTTTCTGAGGATTTATTTCACTGCCTCAAAGACGTGTTGAATATTAATTAATAAGAAAATTTCATTATTATTTTGGATTGCTGATATTTTACAGTATTTTAAATTTAAAGGTTAAGTTGTTTGTGAGCATATTTTGATTATATTGTACCTGCCAGGGTTGAAGAGTATAAAAATCACCATATATACCCAAATTGAACTGTGATAACTGCATAGAAAACAGAAAACTTTACAGTACATTTTAGTTGGTAATTCAAATTGTTTCTTTTTGTAGGAATAAAAAGAAGCTGAGTACTTTGTAAGGTTTGCTGAAAGTTTTATATATTTCCTCTAAAGTCACTGAGAACAGATGGACAGATTAAAAGAGTTTATTGTTCAAAATGATAGTAAGTCTTCAACCTTTATAACATTTAATTAAACTTACAGAAATATGTTTATAAATTTAACAACTTAAGTATTTACATACATGTATGTATTTGTGCATAATTGTTCATACCGCTTACCCTCATTGGCAACATTTTCAAAAACAGTCAAAATGTGAGGGATTTTAAGGTTTCATTACAGGTCTTTTTGTGTAAAATAATACAAAGTTACTTAATCATATGCTTTGTAAAGGATAAAAGGGAAGTTCACAAACTGGGTACTATATACAAGTAATAAACTGATGAAAATGTCAATAGTACTTTATATTAAATTTTTTAGTTACTATAGACTATCCATCTATTTTCAGAATGCAGTGATTGGTTATTTTGATTTTAACTCCTCCCCTCAGCCACCAGGATCTGCCCCACAACAACAAGGCCCCGCCTTCCATCAGTTCTATCTTACAGCTTTAAGAGTGACATCTCAATGGTTTTGTTACTAATTTCTGTATGTTATCTAAGAGTTTTGAATGCATGTTGTTAGATTGGGTATATGAAAATATACTGTTTCAGTTATTATTGCATTATAAGACATTTTTTAAAGGGGAAAAATATGATATTTAAATTATTGAACTTCTAGCCTGCTAAAATTGTAAAATGGATTTGCCTAGCTTTGTAATTTAGAATGTTCATTCCAAAATTTTAAGATGCTTGAAAAACTACAAAAAACTAAGCTACAAAATAAAAATCCCGGTCAGACTTACAGATTATACTATTTGACCTTGATTTATAATGGTTGCAATTGGCTAATTGCATTCACTTCCAGAAGAGCAAAGGGTCAGGTTAAATTGATAGATAAAACCTAATTTTCTCTAATTAAATTAGTACCCGATAGCTGATGTGGGTTTGATTTTTTTTATCCACATTTGAGCTTGTTACATTTTATATGTAAAGTTTTAAAGAATATACTTGACTAGCAGGCATTAGTTGGTCCTGAAATAAACCAGGAGGAGAAACTAGAGGTTCTCATTGAATTTTTAAGCTGGGAAGTTAAAAGAAATTTACCTATACTTGATAGATGCTGACTAAATTTAGCAAAAGTTAAATTTGAAATAAGACAAAATAACTTCAGTTGAATAATAATAAGACCTGTTAATTTGATGTAATATGGAGAAGGGATATAGTCATAGGTGGAACTAACAACTTAAAATTTATTTTGTAGATGTGTATCAACCTGTAAGATTTGGAGTTGTAACTTCACTGCAACTAGCAAACAGTCTGGACATGTCATTACCAAACCAGTTCGTACTTACAAGAATTGGAAACTCTTCACTGGTATAATAATTTTTTTAAATATGTTAGTGAATTGTAAATGATAATTCAAAACATCTGTCTTAGATTTATTAATAACTTGTGAATATGATGATTTATTTATTATACCCCCACAAACGAAGTTTAGGGGGGGTATATAGGAGTCAGCTTGTCGGTCGGTCGGTTGGTCGGTCGGTCCGTCGGTCGGTCTCTCTCACATCATGGTTTCCGGACGATAACTAGAGTTTGGAATGAGGTATTGTAATCAAACTTTGGTATATAGCAACTTTATGTGGAAAACTCCGGTTGGTATTGCATTGGACCCCTGGGGTCAAGGTCAAGGTCACCGTTACTAAAAATAGAAAAATGGTTTCCGGACAATAACTAGAGTTAGGGAATGAGATATTGTTATCAAACTTGGCGATAGCAAGCTTATATGAAGACCTGGGTTGGTATTGCATTTGGGCCCTCTGGGTCAAGGTGCCAAGGTCACTGTTACTAAAAATAGAAAAATGGTTTCCGGACAATAACTTGGACCTTAGGAATGAGATACTGTAATCAAAAACTCGGTGTATAGCAAGCTTATATGAAGACCTGGTTGGTATTGCATTTGGACCCCCTGGGGTCAAGGTTCAAGGTCACCGTTACTAAAAATAGGAAAATGGTTTCCGGACAATAACTAGAGTTAGGATTGAGATATTGTTTATCAAACTTGGCATATAGCAAGCTTATATGAAGACCTGGGTTGGTATTGCATTTGAACCCCCCTGGGGTCAAGGTCAAGGTCACCGTTTAGGAAAAATAGAAAAAATGGTTTTCGGACAATAACTTGACTTAGGAATGAGATACTGTAATCAAACTCGGTGTATAGCAAGCTTATATGAAGACCTGGCGTTGGTATTGCATTTGGACCCCCTGGGGTCAAGGTCAAGGTCACCGTTACTAAAAATAGAAAAAATGGTTTTCGGACAATAACTAGAGTTAGGATTGAGATATTGTTATCAAACTTGGCATATAGCAAGCTTATATGAAGACCTGGGTTGGTATTGCATTTGAAACGCCCCTGGGTCAAGGTCAAGGTCATCGTTAGGAAAATAGAAAAATGGTTTTCGGACAATAACTAGAGTTAGGAATGAGAATATTGTAATCTAATTTTGGTGTAAAGGAAGCTTATATGAAGACCTGGGTTGGTATTGCATTTGGACCCCCTAGGGTCAAGGTCACCGTTAGAGTTGTTACTCAAAAATAGAAAAATGGTTTCCGGACAATAACTAGAAGTTAGGAATGAGATATTTGTTATCAAACTTGGTGTTTAGCAAGCTTATATGAAGACTTTGGTTGGTATTGCATTTGAACCCCCTGGGGTCAAGGTTCAGTTAAGGTCACTGTTACGAAAAATAGAAAAATGTTTTTCGGACAATAACTAGAGTTAGGAATGAGATATTACTTAATCTTATTTTGGTGTATAGGAAGCTTATATGAAGACCTGGGTTGGTATTGCATTTGGACCCCTAGGGTCAAGGTCACCGTTATAGTGTTATTTAAAATAGAAAAATGGTTTCCGGACATTAAACTAGAGTTAGGAATGAGATATTGTAATCAAACTTGGTGTATAGCAAGCTTATTTCAAGACCCCAGTTGTGATTACAATTAATTGAAATATTTCTTTGTACACAGTTGATAGTTTTTGTTCAAATTTTTCTTCAGACTACTTTTTTTTCAAAATTCAAAGTTGCTGGTGGGGGTATTAATCACCTTCAGTGATAGGTCTAGTTGATAGTGGTCAATATAGCCAAGTAAATACTGAATGACAAGATATTTGTAATTTAGAAGTGAAGTTTTATTATAAGATTAATGTTTTGATTAAATTATATTTTGTAAGAATTGTTTGAAGGTCAGTCAGCATGTTTTGGTTGGAAAGAATTAAGTGTACAAACCTGAGATATTTATGTTGAGAATTTTTGGTATAGCACACTGCCAATTATTTGGTTCAAAGTCATATACAAGATATCCTATGTGACTATGCCATTAGTGCTATTTGTCCCCAAACACTGATTAAAATTGAATGAGGAAAGTTTGCACGCTGTCTGCAGAAAAAAACATACTATTTCAGAATCCAAGAATATTATTGTTAAGAAATACCCAATGTTTGAGTAAAAACTAGTGCAAAAACAAATCGTAGTTTTAAAGATTTGTACATTAGTAGTACATGTAACACTTAGATATGAATTATATTTTATTTATAGATATATCCCGTGTTTTACAATTTAACCTCAAAGAATATGACTGCATGGATTCTGTATTACAAACAAAAGGTATGTATTTCAATTACAATTTTTAAAAAACTATTAAAATGTGTGTATGAGTAATTTTGTATTTTTATTTGTTTGGGTCGTCAGAGCAAACAAATAATGGTAGCGAAATTTCAGACTCTAATGCTGCTAATTGCAAATGCCCAAAGTAGTCCGCTTTTTTGAAGCGGTTACTTCCCTTTATATGTACACTAACGCCGAAAAATTCATGGGGAGATCACTGCCCGTAAAGATGGTCAAATGACAGGCGCAAATTAATTTTTCAAGGCAAAATAATTCCTGAGATGATCGAAGATTTCTAATATTGTTTTATTCTTTATAATATACCATGCTTATAGTTTAAGCTCCCCCATGATTATTTACATACGTGTTATATTCGTTACAAACCCTAATTTAGAATAATATTGTTTTCTTCAGACCGTAAACATATAAATTCGCCGTGGCCAAGGGGTTTGCGCGCTTGCTTAGGAAGCGAGAGGTCTGGAGTTCAAATCCCAGATAAGGCAACTCCTTTTTTTTCTAATTGTTTAAGTCAAATAAACCATTGGATTGAATATCAGTGTTGCAGTTTGTCTTATAGCCAATTTACTACAATTTAAACGCTGAAAAACATTGGTGGCACTATACAAAAACAAATTGGTTTATAATATCACAACCTGCACCTTTCTTACATTCTGAGACCCAAACAAATTCAGCGCCTTCTGTGCTTTGATTGAATTGAGGGATTATACATACATGCCATATACCCACTCACCAAGGTAGAGGTTTGGCTTAAAAAAGGCAGTGGATTCGGACCATTTGAGGGGAAATTTTTAAGCTTGCTCAATGTTCATTAACCACAAGACAAAGTTGGTATCAAACTCTGGAAATCTTTGATTCTCAGTCTATGCGAAAGACTTCAGAGTTTTACTGGACAGTAGGTCTTGTAAACTGAAAATTTTTACTGGACCAAACATGATTTTACTGGACCGAAAAAAAAACCTGATTGGTATAGCATTTTGAGTCACTTGATATTTGTGTCAGCAGTCAAAAAATTTGTGTACAAAAAGAAAATTATATTATCAACGAAGTGAAGTTATCTTTTTTCATCGCAATCAAATTGTAAACATAAATCTTGTTATACATGTATTCAATGGATTTTGCTATTTAAACTTTAATTCCATACAGACTATAATATATACATTGTACTAGCAAAATGAGAGGGTAAATTTCAGCAACAGCCTGGCATATGTATGTAAACATAATTATATATATCGGTAATTTAGTTAAGTTGACAGATTTAATAATTGTTCAATGATTTTGGCACCTTCACAGTATAGTTTAATTTTTGTCAACATCTTGGACGATCTTTCATATCCGTAATTGGCTGCTAAACACGGATTAAAGACGTAAATTGTTTCAATTAATACACTGACACTTTCAACTGTGTAAACAAGCTAATAGCGGGTGACCTTTCACATCTGGGCCGCTTATGTAATTTACGCAGCCGCTTCTTGACTTTTAATTGTACTAGTTGTCGGATATTTTTATCTTACGTTGTTACATAAAAGTTTGCATTATGAATTTATGAGAATGCATAACAGTTGACAAGCATTGCATCAGAGCTTACATTATCTAATGACAACATTTTGAATTTAGGTAAATGATCGGCCTTTGCATAATGTTGAATGTAAGGTTTTTATAAAACCTTAATTTTTTACCGGACCGTTGGGCCGTCAATACATATATTTTTATCGGACCTTCTGATTTTTTACTGGTCAGGTCCGACGGTCTTTCGGAAAGACTGGATTCTTTGAGTTACTATAAATATTAGTAAACTTGCCTGATAATTATTTTTTATCTACATACATTGCATCATTCCCTACATGAATCAACTTTAAAGACAAAACACCGGCACCTAACCAAGGGAGGTTACATTTAAAAAAAAATTGAATAGCCAATATGGATGGAGTCTTTAAGTTTAAGTGCCTCGCACTAACTTTAGTTACACTGATTTAAAAGGTTTTATCCCGAGAGAATTGTGTCAGCATTGATTGGACATAAATTCTGCCATGCATGGCTAAATTTTAGTATTTAGGTAACCAAAAAATCACGATAATTGAGATGTAGTGTTTTCTTATGAACCGGGTGTTCTTCTGGACAATGTCTTTCTTACTTTTTTAAAAATTGTATATTTGTAAATAGATAGGCCTTCTTTTTTTATTTATAAAAGTGAAAAATGTTACAAATTTTTTAAATATGAGGTATTTCTAATTACTGTTTATCTATAGGTATATTGTGTACATTCCTGATGTCATATACCATAAAATTCCTAATAAAACGTCCCCTCCCCTAATAAAGGCCCCAGGCTTTTTATATCGAAAACAATCTATTATCAGTGCGAATGATAATTAAAGCCCATTAATTTTTTCAAATCAATTCAGAACCATAGTATTTTATTTAACACAAATATTTAATATGAACTTTAAAACTTAACACTTTTTTAATTTTTATACCAACACCTTGCTAAACACTAAATGTATTACTCAGTGAGTTTTGGATTTAGGAAAACTAGTATTGTACGCATAATAGCTCCCCCTTTTTGGAAAAAGTTTAGCCCCCAGGGGGCTTTTAATGGAAAAATTTTACGGTATTTAGAATATTATGAATAAATTTATATATGAAAATAAAATTTATTTTTTGTACTACTTTTTTTAACAAATTATAAAATATGACATTGCAACCACTCTAATGTCATACTAGGTAATTAAATTTGAGTTTTCATTTAGATTGATATGAATTAAAATTGTTTATTCCTTTTTTTGTAGAATGTAGCACCTTGGCTTGTGCCTCCAGGAGTAAAAAGTTTAACTTTATCGTTACACATACAGAAGGGTCCAGCAGTGTTTGTGTTTGCCCCGACCAATCCTCTCCTCTCATTTAACCGATATCGTGATATGGTAAGCTGTTAACTAGAACTATATTTTCTTTCTTCACTCCAGATGGTGAAATGAAACAAATGAAATAAAATTTCAAGTAACCGGTAAATACTGATCTAGTTAGGTTTTATGTGTAAATCCATTATTACTGACATCTTAATTCAAGAAGAATGTTGACAAAAGCGTCCAAATATATATATCGTGTTTTTCATTTACATTATCTACTACGTTACTAACAAAGTAAGCAACATAAATAGGAGAAGATAACTCATTTAACATGGTCAGGTGTCACAACAGTGGTCTGGAAAAATTACAGTATCCAAAAGCCCGGGGTCATATACCGTCGTCATTGTGTAGGTCCCTAACCTATTTCAAGCTTAAGTTTAAATTGATAAATTGGTCATCATATTTATATGTTATAATTGATCAATTATTATTTTTAGTGCCACAAATTACAAGAAATATCAAAACAAAAGCAGTTATTTGTTTCCCTCTGTGTTTGATACGATCCCGATTCTGTGCGTTCCAGACCACAGGTCACAATTTTGTCCTTTCCAATCAAGTGGTACTAGAAAAAAACCCGGAAGAAAGAATTTGGTAGTATAATAAAAGAAGGTATTTCTGGTTGGCAGAAAAGCAAATTGTATGAACAAATTTAAACGTTTTGTTTGAAGTTCTTTACGATTTTTTTTTCCCCATCCATTTTTTAAAAGGGATTTTAAAAATAATGTAAAAAAGTATTTAATGTTATTTCTGGGGGCCCTACTTTTAAAAGGCGACCTAATGAAAATTTACTTAGTTATTATTTTTTCTTCTTCTTAAGGAGGTTTAAATGTAAACTGAATTAAAAATTGAAATGTTTCCGGACAAGATTCAGAAGTTTGGTCGCTTCACTTTGATGCCAACACATGCCTGAAATATTGCTTATGGGTAGTTATTAATTTTTGCTTAACCAGTTAAGTTTGAAAATGGCTGTTTGCATTCTAAGCATAGAAGACAAAAAAGACCGCAGGATTATATTGTGTCAACATTTGTTTATTTCACCACTGAATTATTTTTATGTCTTTTTCAGTTGGAAGATAAATCCTTATGAGAAAATTCATAATGTACATATACATGTATATATGCTTAGATGGGACATGTATTGCATGTTTTATTTTTATTGTGATTATGTATTGCATATTTTTTGTCATGTCTTTCTTTGATTGAAATAATTGAAACTTAAAATTTTTCAGATAAATATTGCCAGCTATGCATTTAGGAGTTGTGGTAATTATAGCAAATATTACCAGGATATTATACAGACTTATATACAGAGTACAATACCACAGAAACATGAAGCTACAGCTTACCATAAAAAGTGCCTTGAGAAGAAATCCAGTGTTCATCAGAGTAATTTATCTACAAGTAACAGGAAGTGTTGTGTTTCTTTAAAGACTGGTTCCCAAAAACCCAGCCTACACACTGTATGTGAATATTGTGTTCAGAAAGATATTTTGAACAGTGACACAGTCTGTGATATAGGATTTAAACCAGAGGGAATATCATTTTGGTCTCATTCGTTGGAGAACTCATGCTCTGATTTGTATCAATATTATAATATAAATGAGCACCATTCCGTGTGTTGTAAAAGAGGCATGACTGAGTTGCCTAATTTACATATCAAAAAAATGTCTGGTAAAGAGCGACGAATAACTGACACTTTTATTCAAAATGGTGAAAGCATTTTCTGTCAACAGCATTTAAATAAATTAACTTTACAAAAGACTAAATTTTTACCAACCCTAGAAGAAACTTCAAAAGTGTTAACATTGTTAAGTGATGTTCGAAATGGAAATGTAACAGGTTTAGGGTGTAGGACTAATAAAACCATAAATTTCTTTTATATAGATAGTTTATATCATTCTGTGTTTTTGAAACACTTAAATATACCAAACACACCAAAGATACCGTCTGTGATACTTGTAGATTTAAATGATGAAAATGTCTTCCTTCTCAGGGATAAATTGAATTATAGAAACCTTGGTAAGTAGTTTTACTCTAATATTCCACTTTATTGTTTTTTGTGTTGTCTTTGGGATTTCCAAATATAAGTAAATCATAGTCCAACCATTCTGTTGGGAGTTCTGTACCAGTTTAAATGTAACTTACTGCTTGTGATTTTTCAAAATTAGTTTAATTCTAGTGGACCAGTCTATTATAGTGTAAGTGTTGAAAGTGCCAGTTTTGATGATAGTCACAACTTAAAATGATAAGTAGTAAGTGAATCATGGTTGAATCAGTAAATTGGTGGGCATGTATTCTTGGTGCCACCTTTTGATAATAGCCATATGAAACAATTTGTTATTAATGTAGATCTATTTTATAACCAATATATTACTGACAGTTGTTATTAAGAATTTATTTGTATTTCTTTGACTCTGACACTATATGTTTTTTAGCCCATTTTGTGAAGAATTATACAGAAGGTGTTCTAAATCCATATAGGAAGTCAACAGAAGTAATGCCTTCAGATGAATGCAGTAAGAAAGATAGTGTGTGTATAACTGAAGTTACTGCCAGTACATTCCTGGAAGTTGTTATGGAAGAAAATAAGGTAAACATTTGCATAGTGAACTGTGATTACTTTTCAAACCACTTGCCCCTCACCACTGTGGGTTCAAATCCCGCCAGAGACGTTGGGTTCTTCCATGTGAGGAAATTATTCAGTATGCTAACGGAATACGGTGGTTTTACTCATGTGCCTGTTCATGCCTGAAATAATGCACAGAAGAGCACCTCCACCAGTAAAGGTGAAAAAATTGCAATATGACCCAAAAAAAACAAAAAACTGTTTACATGCCTTAGATGGGAAATTTTATTAACAAAATTTGCTTGGAATATATATTTACATTGTTTCATGTGTTAAAAAGGTTAACCTATTAATTTTTCTAGAATTATTAGATAAGCTGATAATTAACATACTGGTTAGTAAGTAATTGTACATGTTAAGCATTTAAGTTACCCATACATAAATAATGTATCTCTCTTGTGTAATAAAGAATTAATTATTTTGTTGTGTAATATAAATAGTATTTATTTCTTTATCCACCTGTTTAAAATTGACTGACTTTGTGTTGATCTATTTACAGGATGTGTTGTTAATGTTTTACAGTCATATATGTGGATTTTGTTCACAATTGTCAAAAGTGTTCCTTACAACTGCTCAATATTTTAAAGGTGCCAAAGATTTGGTGTTTTCCAGGTAATATATAGCAAGCTTTATATGTATCTAATATTTGTTGTCAGTCTATATATAATTTTTTTTTATGCTCCCTGAAGGGTGAGAATATTGTCACTACAATATTTGTTGTCAGTCTATATACATGTATAATTTTTTTTAATGCTCCCTTAAGGGTGAGAATATTGTCACCACTTTGTTCGTCTGTCTGTCTGCACTACCAAATAGGGATAGGGTGCCATCTAACTGTAAACAGAACAAAAGAGAACAAAAGAATTCATTCCGTAACAATTGGATAAGGGGCCATGGCCCTCTATTAAACAAAAGAAAACAATAGAAATGGCGCTTTATCCCTATTTGGTCGCACGTCGGTCCATCCTTCCACTTTTCTTGTCTGGGACATAACTCTGAAACAACAAGAGGTATCAATATGAAACTTTGTAGTTAGATAGCTCTCATTGTGTAGATGTGCAGTGCACAAGAACCATAACTCTAACCATAATTTTGGAGTTATTGACCTTTGTTCATATTTACACTTTGAACTTTGTCCAGGAGTATAATAGATATTGACAAGACACTTTGTAGATAGATAGATCTCATTTGGGTAGATGTACAGTTCACAAGAACCACAACTCTGCCTTGCCTAATTTTGGAGTTATTGCCCTTTGATCATATTTACACTTTGAACTTTGTCCATGACATACCTCTGACACTATAAGAGATATGAACAAGAAACTTTGTAGGTAAATAGAAATCATTGGGCAGATGAGCAACGCAAAGAACTGTAACTTTGTCTTGTCTAAGTTTGGAGTTATTGCACTTTGAACTTTGTCCGGGACATAACTCTGAAACTACAAGAGGTATACTTTTCTGTGTCCAAAACTTTTTCGGGGAGCATTAGCCGGTTCAACTGGTTCTTGTTATAGTATCCACGATTGAAATTTATAATCTTAAGTTATCATCTGTTCTGTTGATGTTGTTGTTCTTAGGTTTTAACACCAGCATTGCAACAGTCATATGGTGACATTCCAGCTTTGCAAGTGAAGGATTACTTGAGGTGTGCCTGAGATCTTTCTTATGTAGTACAGCTAGGATATCACCACATGACCCTTTAATATTTACTGTATCGTTGTCATTCAAAACCATATGAAAATGACTCTTGAAGAATTACAAGTTAGATGTACAATGTAGTTTTGCATTTTAAGATGTACTCTCATTTTATTTGGTTTAATATTATTACAGAATAAATGGTGATACAAATGATCTACCTTGGGAATATACAGTAGATAGATTTCCAACTTTGATCTTTTTCCCAGCATACAGGTATATATATATTTCTTACTTTATAGTTGTTTTTATCTCCGTTTGATCTTCTACTTATATCGTTATATTATATATCAGAGCTATTATTTACATAAATTCTTTGTTGTACTGTCAAATTTAAAGTTATCACATTAGCATGTACTGACTGTCTGCCACATCTTCTTTTAAATAATTATTCATTAATGATTGATTCATTGATTGTTTATTGATCATCATTTTCTGATGCATAATATTTCAAATTTACTGTTGAAGATAAGATGATGTTATTGCATAGACTCATAGCAAAAATTATATTATGTAGTATATCTATGACATATGTTTTTATAAAATTTGATATGAAATTGGTCTTGTTATTATGTTTTGATATTGAGTCAGAAAGTATACATTAGAGATGCATTATTGTGTCAGATTTCAGATTTTTAAGGTAAAAAGTTTTGTTTGTCTCTATAATCATCAACAGATGAACCATGTGTAAATTATATGTCTGACCAAATTAATTTATCATTTCAGGAAATCTGACAGTATAAAATATCCAGATGATGTGGAAAAAACTGTTCCAAATCTTGTGAAATTCCTTCTCTATCATGCAAACATTAGTCTTCAGATAGACGCAGCAGTGAACACTTGTTCAGAACAGTGTGTGAAGAAAAATATTGAACTTGTTTTAAAGAAAATCTCAGAGTTAGAGGAAAGTGTTGGACGGTTAGATAGAACAGCCAAAACTTTGTGGTCACAAAAAGTTGACAGTGAACAGGAAAGAAAATATATTAAAGTTGCATATGAAGCAATGAGAAAATCCATTGACATTAAAAACTTTAAGTTACGCAAAGCTCAAATGTTAAATCATTTCTTACAAAAGGAATTGAAGAGATTAGATAAAGATATGTTTCTAGAATTTATGGCAAAAAATGTGGGTTTGTAGTGGTGTAGGTATTTTTGGTATTTTTTCTACCTTTTATTCCTACCCTGCTATTTTGTATATACCCAACTTTTAATTTGAAATTGTCAATTGTAAATGAAAAAGTTTCTCCAACAAAGTGCTAACATTGAGCATTCAACATTATAGTCTAGTCAGAGTGGACATATATACAGGCCAGCCTGATTCTATACTGGTAGCATGGGCAAGTCAGGCTGCACGTATGTATACATAGGCAACTTGTGTAGAAAGGATAATCAGACTTTATGTGTAGGGTAGCCTGATTCTGTACTGGTAACATATGCATGTCAGACTACACAATATATACAGGCTAGCCTGATTCTATACTGGTAGCATATGCATGTCAGACTACACAATATATAGGCTAGCCTGATTCTGTACTGGTAACATATGCATGTCAGACTACACAATATATACAGGCTAGCCTGATTCTATACTGGTAGCATAGGCTAGTCATTATTACTACTGGTACCCAAAGAATTAATACAGTAAATTGTTTTAATGTTTGTGTTAGGCAATCTTTAAATGCTTAATTTATGTTTAAGGTTGTTAATGGCCAATATCATTTACTTTTACACAGTAGGAAATGGCGGAATACAATATGCATAGTCATAGTATTTTAAACTTGTCAACATTTTGTCATAAACTGTTACAAAATTGACCAGATGCATACATATGTGTAAAAGTAGGTTTGTGAAATACTTTGCTTTAATCAAATCAACACATCACATCTTTTAAAAACATTATTTCACATGACACATTGAAGTCTATATGTAAATTTTCCCCATGGAGAAATGCAGTATTGTTTAGCTCAAATGTTGTGTAGCTTGAAAGTGCCATGATTTAGCATATGTTCAATATTGCTATACTACACATTTAAGATGTTGACCATTTGTTTACCAGATTTACTACCTCAATTTTACCTGTGTATTTTGACTGTATCAGTCAACTTATATTGGCATTTCACACAAAGTCCAGTTACACTTTTTATGTATAAAAAAGGGGTAAATTTGTTGATGATGCAACATGTTGTTTTGTGTTATTATTTGATAATTTATGCAGAAAGTTTCTTTTTTTTTATAATTTTCAGTGAGTTTATGATTTTATATTTGTAATGTTAATGAAAGATTGGCGGCATTTTGTTCCTTTTACTCAAATGTTTATATTAAAACAAACAAATATAGATAATATATTTATATTTTTGTGGTGGAAGTTTTTTTGTTGTTGATTATTTATATGCAATTGTTAGTGCTAAATATCTGCAGGTTGCTAGTCTTCCATACATTGATGCAAATTGTGAGTGTTTCTATTTTTAGCTCACCTGTCACAAAGTGACAGGGTGAGCTTTTGTGATCGCTTTTCGTCCGGCGTCCGTCCGTCCGTCCGTCCGTAAACTTTTACTTTAAATGACATCTCCTCATAAACCACTGAGCCAATTTCATCCAAACTTCACAGGAATGTTCCTTTGGTGGTCACCTTTAAAAATTGTTCAAAGAATTTAATTCCATGCAGAACTCTGGTTGCCATGGCAACCCGAAAAGAAAAACTTTAAATATCTTCTTTTAAAAAACCATAAGAGCTAGAGCTTAGATATTTGGCATGAAACATCTTCTAGTGAGTGTCTACCAAGTTTGTTCAAATAAAAGCCCTGGGGTCAAAATTGGCCCCGCCCCGGGGGTCATTGATTTTCCCTATATGCATATAGTAAAAACTTAAAATATCTTCTTTTAAAGAACTTTAAAGAGCTATGGCTAAGATATTGAGCATCAAACATGTTCTAATAGGTGTCTACCAAGTTTGTTTAAATAAAAGCCCTGGGGTCAAAATTGGCCCCGCCCCAGGGGTCATTGATTTTCCCTATATGCATATAGTAAAAACTTAAAAAATCTTCTTTTAAAGAACCAAAAGAGTTAGAGCTAAGATATTTAGCATGAAACATGTTCTAATAAGTGTCTACCAAGTTTGTTCAAATAAAAGCCCTGGGGTCAAAATTGGCCCCGCCCCGGGGGGGGGTCATTGATTTTCCCTATATGCATATAGTAAAAACTTAAAAAATCTTCTTTTAAAGAACCAAAAGAGTTAGAGCTAAGATATTTAGAATGAAACATGTTCTAATAAGTGTCTACCAAGTTTGTTCAAATAAAAGCCCTGGGGTCAAAATTGGCCCCGCCCCGGGGGGGGTCATTGATTCTCCCTATATGCATATAGTAAAAACTTAAAAAATCTTCTTTTAAAGAACCCAAAGAGCTAGAGCTAAGATATTTAGCATGAAATATGTTCTAATGGTTGTCTACCAAGTTTGTTCAAATAAAAGCCCTGGGGTCAAAATTGGCCCCGCCCCGGGGGGTCATTGATTTTCCCTATATGCATATAGTAAAAACTTTAAAAATCTTCTTTTAAAGAACTCAAAGAGCTATGGCTAAGATATTGAGCATCAAACATGTTCTAATAGTTGTCTACCAAGTTTGTTCAAATAAAAGCCCTGGGGTCAAAATTGGCCCCGCCCCAGGGGGTCATTGATTTTCCCTATATGCATATAGTAAAAACTTAAAAAATCTTCTTTTAAAGAACCAAAAGAGTTAGAGCTAAGATATTTAGCATGAAACATGTTCTAATAAGTGTCAACCGAGTTTGTCTAAATAAAAGCCCTGGGGTCAAAATTGGCCCCGCCCCGGGGGGTCATTGATTTTCCCTATATGCATATAGTAAAAACTTAAAAAATCTTCTTTTAAAGAACTCAAAGAGCTATGGCTAAGATATTTAGCATCAAACATGTTCTAATAGGTGTCTACCAAGTTTGTTCAAATAAAAGACCTGGGATCAAAATTGGCACCGCCCTGGGGGTCATTGGTTTTCCTTATATGTGTATAGCAAAAACTTAAAAAATCTTCTTTGAAAAAACCCAAATAGCTAGAGTTTAGATATTAAGCATGAAACATCTTTTAGTGAGTGTCTACAAAGTTTGTTCAAATAAAAGACCTGGGGTCAAAATTGGCCCCGCCCCGGGGGTCATTGATTTTCTTTATATGTGTATATAGCAAAAACTTAAAATCTTCTTTGAAAAAACCCAAATAGCTAGAGTTTAGATATTAAGCATGAAACATCTTCTAGTAAGTGTCTAGAAAGTTTGTTCAAATAAAAGCCCTGGCCCGGCCCCAGGGGTGTCATTGTTTTTAACTATATGTGTATAGTAAAAACTTTAAAAAAATATTCTTTTAAAAAGCCCAATGAGCTAGAGCTTAGATGTTTAGCATGAAACATCTTCTTATTGTCTACCAAGTTTGTACAAATAAAAGCCCTTGGGTTAAATTGGCCCTGCAACGTTGTGGGGGGGGGGGGTTTGGGGGGCCTATATACAGGTGAGCGACCTCAGGGCCATCATGGCCCTCTTGTAAACATATTTGGTGTTTTTCTGTTAATTCACGGTATGTGAGTTAACATGAATTTAATCGAACAATAAATGTATTCATTGTGCAGACATGCTGTTTTGATGTCTTATCTCATTTTTCTATTGAAATATTTTCACTTATCTTAATTTATCTTATTTATCATTTTAGATTTATCTCACAAAATAGCCTTGTCAGATTGACGTTTCATATTGAATGGTTTAGACTGTTATCATAAAATTATTTTTTAGATATGACTATAAAGAAAATGTATTTTGATGGCCTACATTGTATCTACCATTCACAATATAAGCTTATACCAAAACCAAAAAAAAAAAAAAAAAACTGACAATTTTTTTTCTTGAAAAATGTCTTGATAATAAGATATTAATTAAAGAAATAGATGACAGATTTTCTTGACATATGAACATACTGAATATTGCGTTTTACATTTCTGAAAGAGTGAGACTAAAAAATGATTGGAGCACCACACTAAATGCCGTATTCCGGTATATGGTATATACAGGACAAGGCGCTTTGAATGATAAAATGCTAAATTCTTGCCTTTGCACCCAACGGAATGAACTTTAAAAGGTCTTATTCTGTAATGAGTTAAATCCTATCTAAAATGATGTTTATTGTAAACATGTATTGTTTAGCTCAAATGTTGTGTTACATGAACCTTGAATGAGCCATGATTTCAGCATATGTTCAATATCGCTATACACATATGTTAATTATGTTTTTAATAAATACACACATATAGATACATAGGATGTTATTAACATTCCTTATATGATTAGATAAATGTCCCGTTATTTTTATATACATTACAGTTGTTGTCTCATATATATGATTAAATCCAATATTGACTTTCTTACCATATACTCATTTATTACTTATTGATACTACTATTGTAAATATAATCAATAGTAGGACTTGATCACATTGTATTGTTTTTTCTTTGAATTTTACTTATGAATCATGAAGTTTGATGATTTACAAAAGTATATTTCATTGTGACAAAAACATAGTGATTATATTGATAAGTTACTTAAGGCACAGTGCTCGTTCTTAAGCATGCATTCACTTTTTTCCCACTTGTTACATTTTTTAAATGATTATGTATAATATGATAAAAACTCTGTTTATATAGGTATTATGCAGTGATTTTGTTTTAATGGAACTAAATATACTCTTTTTTTTTTGCCTTAACCATACAAAGTTTTCACCTTATTTAGTAGTAGTTTTTTCATACCTAAAGGATATTCATCTAACTTTAGCATGTTCATTGAAAATAACTATCATTGTATAAAAAACTGTCCACAAAACCTAACAGTCACGAGACTTTTTTAGTCATCCAACTTATTTAAAAAGATGTAAACCTATGCAATATTTTGTGGATGTGATTGAAAACCAAAATTTAGTTTGCATGATATAGCACAGAAATGATATAAGTTTTACAAATCTATGCAGCATTTACACACCTGTGTTTAAACAGCTTAATTTGGGATATAAAATTGGATATTTGTTTCCTTGTGTTGTGTTTGTATTTTGTGAACAAGCATTGTTCACTTCGTTGTTTGTGCATTTTGAAATGTTTGTTGTGCAATCTGAAATTGGTAGCTCTTAAAGGGTTGGTTGATTATGATAAAAATTGCTATGCTAGTTATTGATGACTTTGTCATGTACATTCTGGTACATTGTACTCAACCACCATTGCTTGAATATATTATTTTGTTTCTCTTTAAAAATATCCAAAACTTATAATTATTTCCATTATGCCATTTCTAAATGGTTGAAACCCAACTTAAAATTACACCTTCATTATCAGTATGTTGTTACGGAACATTTTATTTTGTTTTCATACAATATTCATGTGTGTTAAGAATCATTTTATGTTACAACTCTTTTAAGAATCAGCATATTCTATATACAGCATATTTGTTACAAAATAAGCATCCTTATGTGATACTAAATTCCTTTAATTTTTAGTAATGTCCAAAACATTGATTATACACCTACAGTTCTAGTAGCGGAACTGTTATAATGTGATGAAATATGTACTGTATTTTCAACTATATTATATAAGGGATGTTTTACTTTACCTTTAATATTTATGTTAAAGAATTATTAAACACATGGTGCAGGTTATATTTTCATATGCCCAGAATCTTAACCAATCTACTGAGTTGTTATTTCTTTTTAATGCAAAATATGGAAGCCTACGTAATTTATTGTCTAGTTCAAGAAAACCTGCATTTTTATTTACAAGTACTTTACATTGTTTGTATTTTGCTACATTGGTCAAACATATTGAATGTTTCTGTATAGTTTATCCCAAATATACATTGCTGTAAGCGGGAGGCGGTTGTTTGTGTGAATGGATCTGAAATAAGTGTAATCCATGGTGGCCAAATAATCCTTAATCCATTTGTGTAACCAAAAGACTTTACTGAGTAGAAATGTGAAACAAGAAAACGAAAAATAGGTTTAGATCAGACATTTGTGTTGTAACACGATCAAGGATTGACTGATAAAAGAAGGGGAAATTATTATTCAGCTTGGCACAAGATCGATGTTCTTAAAACTGACAGTGACTATTTGTATATTTCAGTTAGTTTTTAAGATTCCAGCAAACTATGCATCAATCTTGTTACACTAATTAATAATAAAGGAGATTATCACATTTGAAGCAAAAAAAAAAGGTTGGTTATTCTTTGTACCAAGATATAGGTCTTTGGCAAATTAGATGGAATGTCTGAATGTTCTATATAAATGGTTATATGAATGGTTATTTTTGGTCAAAATTTAATTTGAAATTTGAAAGGTACCTATTATGTCTGTATGTGTATACAGACACTGCTATCATTACTTCTTGGATGGTAATAATAATGGGAAATAAGTAGTAAAAATCTTATTTTCATATATCACATTTATTATAAAATGAAGGTTACTTTTCTGCATGAATCATGTTAATAATTATTATTTGATTATTATCAATAAATTTATTACTTATATATGTGAAATGAACTAATTTTTTTTAAATATTTGTCTGTTTCAAATTTATAGATTAATGAACAGTAAAGCATGTAATCATTAATTATAACTACATGTATATGATTAGTGTTTGTTATAAATTCTAGGTTATGGTATTGTATGAAATATCTAGTCAGATCTAATACCTAATGTCTTATCATTAATTAAATACTATATTTGTAATACTGTTGATCTTATATCCTTTCTGCCTTGTTTCCCTTTATTAATGATATAATTCTAAATATGAAAAAAAAATTAAGATGTTTTGTCTGGCATGTTAACCTCTTGACATATAAATAAGTACAATTTGATTATTATCTCACTAAAAACGAGGAAAATTAAAGGAATATGTTATTTAATCAGACTAAGACATCAAAGAACGCCCAAAGATTATTGTCAAATAAGACATCAAAGAACGTCCAAAGATTATTGTCAAATAAGACATCAAAGAACGCCCAAAGATTATTTTCATGCTCGACACTGGGTAGTACGCTTTTATCATTGTAAGAGCATATGATGTTGCCTAATAATCAATGAAATCAGTCATTTCACTGTTTCGGTAAAGCGATTAATAAAATTACAAAAATCAAGACGCATTCCGCTTATTTTATCAGGATACATTAATTTCCATTTATATCATGCGGTATCATTCCACACAGGTGTACCTTCTTTATTCATATAAGTGTCATAATATGATATTCAAGATGACGTCAGCGTTCCGATAAATAAGTAATGCGAACGCTTTTGCGGTCACTGTTATGTTTTTATTGGACAGCTAAAACTTCAAACTGCTCTACTCTGACATGTACAGAAGTTATCAGTTCCTTACGCAAGTGAAGGTAACTATTACTGGTAAAATGCTTGACAGCCTGCTTAGAAATAATGCGTTGGCTGAACAGTGCTCTGATGAATTCAAAAAGGCTTACTGCCGTGATCCGGAGGGTAAACTAGCAACACCACTCATTATTTCAATACCAAGTTAAATAGCCCAACTCGAGTATAGCATATCATAGATGAATCTACATGTATATTTTAATGGCTGTTCATATCCGGAACATAAGTATCTGAAAGAAGTTATATTATCTACACCTCAGATCACTAACACTCAAGACAGGATATCATGTGACCAAGAAACTTATCGGAGTGTCATGTTATATTTTCCTGGTGAAAATTGGTTTGGTCGAATAGTATAGCATGCTATTTTTAAGGACGGAATAATTATTCAGTTCATTTTAACAATAGTAATGTCAGAACAAGTTAGCAGAAGTGACACTTCATGTCATAGAAACGAATCGCTGTCTGTTCCAGGGCGAAAGGAAGTTGAAATTGAAGGATCTGATTTTGTATATGAGTTTGTGTGTGATCCATGTCAAGAGGAAAGTCATCAGTACGTAGCATTTGGATTCTGTTCTAACTGCAATCACTATCTGTGTAAAACATGTTATACAGTACATTGTCGTCCGTTACCGACAAGAAACCACAACCTGCTGGACAAAGATCGTATGCCCAAAAACCGACCGCGATTGTCTACTGGCAATCATGACATGGACGAAAAATGTGAAAAACATAGCGGAAAAATAGTGGAGTATTTCTGCCAAAATCACGATGCAATCGGTTGTTCTGTGTGCATTACACTGGATCATAAACTATGTGGCGGAGTTCAGTTTGTACCAGCTATAATGGTCGACAAAGATAAAGCCCGCATGGTTATGCAGGAGCTTTCCTCATTGAATGGCAATGCAAAAGATAAACAGGAACGCTTAAATCAATGGTTAGCACTTAGTGAACAAAGCTTTGACAACGCTGTGCAAGATGCAAGAACATTTTCTTTAGAAATGAAAACTTCTATAGAAATGCTTGAAAAGAAGTTCGAAAAAACAGCTCAGAGCCATCGTGATACAACAGTGAATTTCAGAGGCCTTGAAATTGACAACTTAAAGAAAGTTATCCAGCAAACAGAGTCTCTAAGTAAGGACATGACATTCTATCAATCGGGCGATAAAAACGCACGGTTATTCATCGCGATGAAAAAGGCAGAGCAAATGATTGCATCTTATTCTCATGTCAATGACAATGATGTTCTCGATTTCAACTATACATTTCAACCGAATGAAGACTTAGCAAATCTCCAAGACAGTATAAAGACTCTAGGGGAAGTCCATGTAGTATGCAAAACAAACGAAGGTGGTGAAGACAATGCGTCGAATCTATCTCGTGTTAATGTTAAAACCTCAATGAAGCAGTTTGCTGCACATTCGAAGGACGATACTTCAGACTGCCTTATTGTGGGAGTAGTTTCTATAGGTGATCCTTTAAGAAAAATCGTTGCTGACGCCGGTAATAACCAAATCAAAGTTATAAAAGGGTATTCAGACACATTAACTACTTCTTTGAAAATACCTTCCCGACCATTTGCAATGGCAAAATTCAGTGATAACAAAGTTTGCGTCACCATGCCAGAGGAAGAGAAAATCATAGTCGTCTCAATATCCAAGTTTATGTTTACGAAAGATACGATACGCGTAGCAAAATCTATAACATGCAGAGGGAAATGTTACGGAATGGCAATAGACCGCATTGATGAAGAAATAATGATAGTGTGCGAATATGAAAAAGATCAGTTTGCGATTGATATCCTTAATTTTGACGGCAAAACACTGAGGCATTTTAAGTGCAAAGAGGAAAATGATATTCCAAGATATATTGAAGTTACAAATAGTCATATTTTTACCCTTGACAGTATCAATGGCGTTCTTAAAAGAAGGAAAAGACTGAACGGTATGGTCGAAAATACGTGCACGGTTGAACAAGCGTTATATTTTACATTAACTAAAAATTATTTGATAGTTGTAACTGGATCGCCACAAAAATTACGTATTTTTGATCATGACTTCCATGACTTGAATGCTGAAGGCGAGCTGTGTGACAAAGGTAATACCATTGTATGTGTTGGTAATGATTATGGTGATTCATTGTACATTGCCTTTAGTGCCGGATATGTTCAAGAATACAAACTTTGTAAATAAACATTATCACACACCCGTGCCGATTTTGCGACTCCGTAAAAATTGTATTGCACGGCCATGCATATTATTTTGACGTGACGTCATTAGCGTTATACAAACATAGTGTAAAGACGCGCTGAATGTTAGCGTAATACTATTTATTATATACTAATAAATGAAATATTGAGAAATATTGATGCAATAAAATGCATATTTTCATATTCCGTATTTTCACTGTAAAAATTTATTTTTCACTGCAGTGAAACATATTTTCCGTATTTTCACTGGTGTCTCGCCGGACTAGATTCTACTTTCTTTTAAATTCTGCCAGTACACAAAATTTTAGGGAAAGTCTTTCAAATTTTATCGCAAAAAAAGGGAAAAATGTATATAATAAACAGAAAATTCAAGTTTTTTCTATAAATACATGATTTATTTTCATCTTTTGGCATGAAAATTACCATATTTCACTCGTGGCTACCGCCACTCATGAAATATTTATTTTCATACCACTCGATGAAAATAAATCATGTATTTATAGAAAAAAACTTGAATATCCTCTATATACTAATAGGCGCGTCAATGAAAATGACTCTTATTTCACTTTAAACGGCCTTTATTTTGGGTATGTGATAAATAGAATATTAAATTCGTGTAAGTTCATTACTGAATTTATTTCAGTATTGAACTTACACTCATTCAATATTCTCTATTTATCAAATATTATGATACGATATACTAGCATTCTGCGATACAACTGAAATGTGTACGTAATGTGTTAGTCTGTTCTGTTGTTATTATCTAAGTGCTGACATTAACATAAAGTTAATAATTATATCAAGTAATATATAATCCAATGATAATTAAAAGTCAAACACTCTGTTGATATTGAAAGAGTCAAAATCATGTTTTATTCTATCTGTTATCAATTATTTAGTGATTTGAGCTAACTAAATTATAAAATTGCTGTAGAAAATTGCTTACAGGCAGAATAAAAAAACCTCCTCACCTCAGCTGGTATTAATTTTGTTTTAAAGTTAGAATTGTTGTTACAATGCCAGACGAGACGCCGAATTGTGGCCTTTGATATTCTTGATAAATCTTCGTCTATTACACAACTAAACATAGGAGCTCGAAAACAGGACCGCTGATTGCGGCGAATATTTGCGATCCTGTACCGGCTTTTACATATCGTTAGTCTTTTCATATTACCTAATAGTGTGAAATTAAAAAATAAATCAAATTCAATTTAATAAAATTAATTAAATACCGTCAGACTTGACCAATTTTAAAACTAGCAGATCATGTAAAATTAATGTTATATTCTTTTAGGCCGTACACTCGGATAATACGAAAAGATATTAAGATAAATGAGAAACATTTTTAAAAGCCGTTCCATGATTGGAAATGTGCGCAGCAATCTGCGCGAGGTTATACATTTACACGAGTTCTTCTACACAAGTACTACATGTATTACTAATTTCAGCAATAAACTGTTTCTTCCCTCTTCACCTTTATCACTTGCTACGTCCTCACTTGTGCTACTTAGCTTTAGAGCATCCAACGTCCATTTAAGCGATATGAATGTAAACAGGAAACGTTACTTCTATTTCTGATCAATTCTAGTTTTACATATTGCATTTTCCCTTATCACAACACAAATAAACACTAGAGGATGGGTCAATATGTAATGCAATATATGTTCAATAGATTTAACAAAAGAGTAAATATTTTAAAATCTTATATTTCAACCCTTCGAAATGATCTCCTCCTCCTCCTACATAAATACAAAGTTTCATTTTTAAATGCTTCAACATAATCCCCCTTAGGTAAAACTTTCAATAACTGACAAATGGCCGAAGCTTGACTTTAGTCAAGTAAAAAAAAGTCAAGTCAAAAGTTAAGTCAAAAAACATTTATTTCTCTCATTCTATGTACAAGCATGACATAATGAGGTGACAAACATGAATAAAAGTACAATGAGGCTCAAACATACTAGAGAAAATTATAATGGATAAATAATTTGATATTACACATGGTAGATTTGTATACTTAAGTTTCAAGTACTTATAGAAAGAACGCTACATTCAAAGGTAGTGTTTCATTTTTGTCTTTATTTTCTTTTTTCTTTCTATTTCACCAATGTGTTTCGATTGTAAGATAAAGTTGTCACTGGATGGACCTGGACAATTTACAGTGAAAATCTAGTTAAATTGGTAGGTTTGGAGAGAAAAGAAAAAATTTCTCTTAATTGCTTAATTTATTTAATGATATCTTGCATATTTGGTTGGTGGATACCTTTAATGGTCCTCTAATTTTTTGTGGAGTAAGTGGTCAAAGTCAAGGTCACTGGTTTAGAAAATAAATTTAAACATTTTTGCTCATACAGCCTTTATTTTTTGGTTGATGTTTTTCTTGTTTAATACAAACATGCCAAGGGATGTCCTCCTTCTTTGGGTATAGTAAGGGGTCATTTGGGTCAAGGTCAATGTGACCAATGTCAAGGTCACCAATGTTAAAAATAGATTTTTACATTTTTAAAGGTGTATTAACCATATTCTATAGACAGATGCCATTTATAATTAAAAGAAACATAAAAATTGATGGAGTTTGTGGTCAGTTGGGTCAAGGTCACAAGTGCTAATAGATTTTTACACTTTTGTGTATATTTCATATTTGGTAGGAAGATAACTTGCATGGTATTCATCCTTTTGATTGGGGTAGGGATCAGTGGGTCAAGGTCACTTGTGCTAAAAATAGATTTTTACACTTTTGCCCACACAGGCTTTATTTATTGACAGGTGTATTTCATATTAGATAACAGATAACTTGCATGTTATCCTTACTTTGGATGGAGTAAGGGGTCAGTTGGGTCAATGTCACAAGTGCTAAAAATAGATTTTTACACTTTTGCCCATACAGGCTTTATTTATTGACAGGTGTATTTCATATTAGATAATAGATAACTTGCATGTTATCCTTACTTTGGATGGAGTAAGGGGTCAGTTGGGTCAAGGTCACAAGTGCTAAAAATAGATTTTTACACTTTTGCCTATACAGGCTTTATTTATTGACAGGTGTATTTCATATTTGATAGGAAGATAACTTGCATGTTATTCTTACTTTGGATGGAGTAAGGGGTCAGTTGGGTCAAGGTCACGAGTGCTAAAAATAGATTTTTACACTTTTGCCCATACAGCCTTTATTTATTGACAGATTTATTTCATATTTGGTTAGAAGATAACTTGCATGGTATTCTTCCTTTGGATGGAGTTAGGGGTCAGTTTGGTCAAGGTCATCAATGCTCAAAATAGAGGTTAACATTTTTGCCCATACAGCCTTTATTTATTGACAGGTGTATTTCATATTTGGTAGGAAGATAACTTGCATGATATTCTATAGGTGTCAAGGCCAAGGGTGCCAAGTATAGATTTCTTACATTTATATATATTTGATAAAGTTGAATATTTATCACTTCACAAGTCATGGCAATGACTTGGCAACTTATATATTTCACAATTACAAAATGCCATGACTCTGTCAAGCTATATAACTTGTGTTTACAATTTTTATGCCCCCACAAAGTAGGTGGCATACAGCGTTGCACTTGTCCGTCCGTCCGTACGTCCGTCCGTACGTCCCGAAATCTTGTGAACGCAACTCCTCTTAAACCGGATGGCAGATTTTGCTTAAACTTCCAGGGATGAACAACCTTAATGTGTGGATGGTAGTAAAGGAAGGAATTTTTGCTGCGACCAAATTTGACAGAATTATGGCCCTTTGTTGATTTTTTCACTATATACCATATAGAAATTTTGTGAACGCAACTCCTCTTAAACCGGATGGCAGATTTTGCTTAAACTTCCAGGGATGAACAACCTTAATGTGTAGATGGTAGTAAAGGAAGGAATTTTTGCTGCGACCAAATTTAACAGAATTATGGACCTTTGTTGATTTTTTCACTATATACCATATAGAAATTTTGTGAACGCAACTCCTCTTAAACCGGATGGCAGATTTTGCTTAAACTTCCAGGGATGAACAACCTTAATGTGTAGATGGAAGTAAAGGAAGGAATGTTTGCTGCGACCAAATTTAACAGAATATGGCCCTTTGTTGATTTTTTTTCACTATATACCATATATATATGTTGTCAGTGGGGGCATCCGTGTTCTTTGGACACAGTTCTAGTTTGGCAATGTTTCTGTCAATAACTGAGTGAATGGGTAAACATTTTTTTGAAATATTGCTACTGACAGGAATCGGAGTCGGGGGCATTTGTGTTAACAAACACGTTCTTGTTCTTTAAATGTTACTTATGAATCATGAAGTTTGATGATTTACAAAAGTACATTCTCATTGTCATAAAAACACAGTGATAATATTGATAAGTTACTTATTGTTATTTTAAAAGGCACATTGCCCAAACCTTAAATGTTCTTTTGCTTGCATTTCACTTTTTCCTACTTGTTACATTTATTAGATGATAAGATACAATTATGTATAATATGATAAAAGTTATGTTTATTTAGCTATTATGCAGAGGTTTTGTTTTAATGGAACTAAATTTACTCATTTTGTCTTAACCATACAAAGTTTTCACCTTATTTTGTAGTAGTTCTTTCATACCTAAAGGATATTCATCCAACTTTAGCATGTTTATTGATAAATAAATATCATTGTGTATAAAACTGTGTGTATTTAATCCACAAAACCTAACAGTCACTAGACTATTTTATTCATCCGACTAAAAGTGAAAACCTATGCAACATTTCTTGGGTGTGATTTATTACCAAAATTTAGTATGCATGTTAAAGCAAAGTAATGATATAAGTTAATTAAATCTATGCAGCATTTACACACCTGTGTTTAAACAGCTTTATTTGGGATATAAATTTAGATATTTGTTTCCTCATGTTGTTTTTCTATTTTGTGAACAAGCATTTTTCACTTTGTTTTTTTGTGCATTTTCAAACGTTTGTTGTGCAATCTGAAATTGGTAGCTCTTAAATGGTTGGCTG